GACAGTCCAAGAACTACAAATGTTCATGTCTGCCATTAACTGAAACAACTGGCTTGTTGTAACAGCAGCGTGATTGTAATTTCAGCTGCCAAGTGGAGAGTCAAAATGCTCTGAAGAAATGTTTTATGTAGAGATGTGAAAAAGATTATTAGGTTACAATGATGTGAAGTATGTATGGAGAACAAGGCGGTGCTTTTTAACCACAGCTTTTAAGTGTGGTAGCATCATGCTAGATGGTTGAAATTTGGATACAACTGGTTGTTCTAACAGGAACCAAATATCAAATGTGCATCAAAACTGATTTTACAGCAGATGACACAGGCTAACTTGACTCGCAACGAATGGCACTAGCTAAAACCTCGACTTTAACTCTTTTGTAGGCCTGGACTACACTTAAAAGCTAAACACATGCTAATAGACGAGCTAATTTAAATGAAGTCTTGCAATTATGATTAAAAGTGTGATAAAGTATCAATCCAGAACTGTGAGAGGAGGCCATTGATAGCTACCAAAAGCATGCAGTTGCTTGACATTTAACCAAATCTCTGCAGGAGTGTTAAAAGTATAAATGTAAAAATTTAACTTTGATTACATGTTTGATACACAATTATTCCCAAAGAAAAAAACTGGTCCAAATGCTTCACTAACTACTATGACGTTAAGCTCCATTATAAAATTATACATGTCAGTGTTCTGTTTTATTTGTAAATAGTTTGAGGTTTAAAACCTCAACGCAACAAGCGAGACACTCTCTGATGAATACCTGACGAGCGTGTTTTAGCATCATTAGCAAAAACATCCCGCTACAGCAGCAGCACCACATACGGAAGTCATGTGAAACTCACCGAATAATGAACTCAGTTCGCCCCTTCCGGAGACGTCTGCCTTACATTGTCTTTCTGTCGATCTGTGTTTGCATGTAAAATTCGTGTTGCTTTTTGCTGATTTTTCCCTCTCTGTTTACAACAGAAAGTACATTAGGAACACTGCAGAAGCAACACCATTATTTTTCTTGTTTTCTTCTTCGGCGAAGAAAACGTGTTTTGGAAAAAGGTGAGCGCCCTCTAGGGGTCTATGTGACTCATGTTTCACTGGACAACGTCACGATATGGCATTGTTTTGGAGGAAAAAGGTAAAGTGAATTACTGCGAATAGTTTTTGCGTGCATAAAGAATGCATCAAGAATTATCTTGACGCACGCAAAATAAATCCTTGTATACCTATAAGTATATAAAAGTAATATGTAAGTATAAAATATATACTTCAATATTAGCTGAAGTATTCCTCTCAAAGACTTTTTTTTAGTTTTAGTTCATTTAATTTGAAGGTAGTTTTTTTCCACCTGTTTAAAAGCAATGTAATTCCCAGTTTTAGTTTATATATTTATTTACCTAATCATTTACTTGTATTTTAATTTTTTATTGTATTACAGTTAAAAGTTTCCTTTTATTTCTATTAATATAATTAACTTATATTACGGAGTAATTTGTGAATTGCTTCCTACATGTCAGTATCTCCTCATGTTATAAAACTGAATTTGAAACCCATATGGTAAAATAATACATTTATTATTTAACCATATGGTAAACCATATAAATATAGCATACATATGTTACATGTTTATATGGGTTGCAGTATTTATTTTGCAATTTGATGCATTTCATGCATAAGCAAGTACATAAATGTGGTTATATAAATATAAATTACATAACATACAATAAGTAAGTAATAAGTAAATATTTCTTCTGTAATAATTGTCATAGACAAAATCAGTTTTGATCAAGTACAGGAAATCAGAAAATATTTTTTTAAAATAAACGATTCAATGTTTAAACATTGATTTAATTATGTACTTTATTGTACAATGTATTTAACCCTTGAAAAATTATTAAATTCAACTTATTTATATAGTAACAATTCACACATCCTCTATTCATAAGTAATTTATTCAAATTAGTTCAAAAGGCTTCTTTCTAAGGAAACCCAGCAGATCACATCAAGACCTCCTGGACAAATGTGCAGCTAGTCGCTTGCTTCGTGTTGACTTTACAGCAATCCCTCATACTGAGCATGCATGTTGTGGCAGTGGAGAGTAAAAACTCCCCTTTAACAGGAAGAAACCTCCAGCAGAACCTGGAAGTACCAACTGCCATCTGCCAAGATCAATTGGGGGTTTGAGACAACAGAGCAAATACACAAAACAGATACAGACTTTTTATGTAAATGAAAAGCAAGCAGGAAGTCTTTATGGACGAATCGGTCCACTTATTCAGATATTATTATGTATGATAATATTCAAATTAATTTAACTGACATTTTACATTTATCAACAAGTGTATTTTAATTTTTATATGAATATGTTATAAACCATAAATCCATTTCTGAACTGTGGCACATTTAGCCCTCTATACAAAGAAAGTTATATTGATGTTTTGATTGGTGTTCTGTCACAGCAAGGGCAAGTCTCCTCACAATTGAAGTCTCGTCTGCTCTGTTTACAGCGCTGTTAATATTACAAAAGCCTTTCATCAGTGTTGTCACATTTATTGCTGTTGTGATTACATCACATGTGATTGGCTGAACAAGGATCACGTGACCAGCCCACCAGACTGGAGTTTCCGCGACAGCTGAAAAGCTGTTAATGCGTGTTTTTTTCCCCGCACCTGTACCGTTGATCATTTCTAACTCCTCAAGGTCCTAGTTTTGTAGAATGGGAGACAAGAAGAGTCCCACAAGGTAAAAGCTTCGCTGGTATGTTTCAATAACGACTTTAACGGGCTTTTAGTGAACAGAGAGCACGGTGAATGGATGGAGCTGTGTGGTACTGAAAGTGTTCATGGCGGCAGGCTGCTGCTTGTGTGTGAATGTGTGGCTGCTTTCCGTGCCTCCCTGACCGGTTCAGGCCAGGAAATGGTTTCCCAAACAATTAAATACTGTTTATTTTTCACATAGCGGTTAGTGTTTAAAAAGCACAGCTGTCATTGTTAAAATTTCCGCTGCCCGTGTGTGTGTGTTTTTGTTTGTGTCTGAAGGCCGAAGCGGCAGTCCAAGCCGTTCACCGACGATGGGTACTGGGACTGCAGCGTGTGCACGTTTAAGAACAGCGCCGAGGCGTTCAAGTGCTTGATGTGTGATGTCAGGAAGGGGACGTCGACCCGGTGAGTGCAGCAACTTTAACACTTCACGTGGCAGTGAGTAAAGATGCGTGAGGGATTTAAATTACATAGTGAAGCATACCTTGGTTGTATATCTTAGCGTAGCTATTAAGGGTTGGATTGTTTTATCTTTTGCTAGAAGATTGCTTTTTCATGATCATATACATACCCTAATCCAGTTTAGCTTTTATTGTGTGGACATGGATGATTTATCTGAATTAAAAACAGTGTTTGTAATCCCAGAGCTGTGAGCACTTTTGGTTTTTGATTAGTAATATCTTATGTACACTTACAGTTAATCACACTTGTTTTCAGGTGTATTAGGACATGCACAACCTCTTTTTAAATCTAGTAAGGGTTTTCAAGAAAACATGCCCATATCAGCCGTTGTCCCAAATATTATTTTATTCTTCTCAGAGTAGCACTGAGTGTGTATTAAGTTGATAGTAATTTGTTGATAAGTCAGGCTACCAGTCCGGGCAGCCAGCTGGCCCGCTAAATATGCTCATGTAGCTTGGCGAGCGTAGCATTAAAGCAGTCTCAACTCTATTAAAAGTGATGGTTGTTCCCTTAGTTTCTGTGCCATGACTGTTTATGATGATCATGTCTGGAAACATTTCCAAACAGCTGGTTCTTTCTTGTTATTGAGGAAAAAGTAGTCATTCTAAATGGGTTAATATCATCCTTAAAGGTTCAAAAAACAAATGCAACAGTGTCTATTTTAATGCAAAACTTTCCTTTAGACCTCTACTGTTGGCTTAAAGACAAGAGGGTCAACTCAGAAACATTGCTTTTTAGCACTGCTTCACTTAATTCCCCCCTCCCCTCCCTTGACAGATGGTCTGCTTTGATTGTTGAATCACAGCCGCTTACTCTTTGAATATGTTCAACTTGACATCTCTTGAACACCTGCACTCCCACTGCGCTCTGCTTGGGTAACGGATGATGACGTTTGTTATTGTCACAACAAGAGCTTTTACCGTTTTCTCATCACCACCTCCACATAAGAATTGACATTATATTTGATTCTCTGCAAAAAGGTGGGATAAAAACGTAAGCTACCCTTCTTTAAAGGAATTGTTTTAGCAAGCTAGTGACACAACATGCAAGCTCTGTTTGCTTTGAGCTACATTGACCTGATCAGTAATGTTTCTGTTCCTCTTGACAGTAATTTCTGTTGGCCTACCAGTTTTCTTTCATTTATTGTAAATTTAGCAAGAAATTAGCATTTGTTGGAACAAACCCTTTACTCCAGGGGTCTCAAACTCCAGTCCTCAAGGGCTGCTGTCCTGCAGTTTTTAGATGTGGCACAGGTACAAAACACTGGAATGAAATGGCTTAATTACCTCCTCCTTGTGTAGATCAGTTCTCCAGAGCCTTGCTACTGACCTAATTATTCTATTCAGGTGTGGCGCATCAGAGGCACATCTAAAAGTTACAGGACAGTGGCCCTCGAGGACTGGAGTTTGAGACCCCTTCTTTACCCTCTGTGGCCACAGTGAATGTAGCGCGTAAACAACCTGCTCCCTGTAGCTACAGTTCCAGTAACGTGCATAAGAGTTGTTTTTAGAGAAATATAAGTGAGGTCAGGATGCATAGATTTTAGTTCCATACACGTGAAAGCATTGGAAAAAAATTCAGCTGTGAATGTAAATAAAACATCAGGGAAAACAACTTAATTTACCACTCAACAGAAGGCGAGAGGAATGTTTTCTTTTTTGTTTGTTTTGTTTACCAAATCAAACATTTATGGCATAAATTGAAAAAAAAAAAAAAAAAAAAAAAACACTTCATGATTTATAAAGTTATATTGATCATTAAAGCACAGCTTCTAAGAACTACACATCTGTGTTTCTGCAGTTCCTCTGCATTTTGCGGTTTTCCCCTCCAAAACATGTTTAATTTCCCTTGACAAGTTTACTACTTGATTAAGGTCTGCGGATTAGGCTGGCCTCTCCAGAACATTAATCTTGTTGGTCTGGAGCCAAAATGTCGTCTGCTTAATAGTGTGTTTCAAGGGCGTTTCCTCCTCAGCACAACGCAGCATGACCCCTTAAAGTATTTCAATTTATTCAAATTAATCCATTTAATGACGAGGCCTAATACAGTACCATAAGAAACAACCTCATGCCGTGTTTTGTGGCGTGAATTGGAGGTTGCCTGACAAACTGTCCTCCGACTTTTTGATGTACCTCTGCTTCAACACACCTGAGTCAGATAATGAGGTCATTAGCTGGAATTTGAAGAGCCTGCCTGCACACAGTTGATTAAGGTTTGTTGAACCAGTTGCAGGATACTGATTTCCGGAGAGGAGTTCACTATAACCAGCAACATTTGCTGCCATCACTTCAGAGGTAACTGTTTAATGTATGTTTTCCACAGGATATACTGTGGAGATTTAATTTTCTAAAGGATCTGATTGTTTCTGTTAACACTAAATCAGCAAGCAAGCATGTCATGACTGCTGGTTTCCTAATGGTCTTCTACACCTACTAGTAAAGGATTTGCTGTGTATACATGTATAATTTGTGACAATGCTGGAAGTCCTTGTAAAATTGAGAAGGTATATTTCAGCAGATGTGTATTTTTATTTTCTTTTATATTTGTTTCTAAAGGTTAATGATTAGTGAAGTGGCAGAGTCAGGCTCTTTTCCTACATCAGAACGATCTCTTGGGTGCAGACTTGCTGCAGCTAAATTGCAGATTCTTCCTCACTGTCTATTCTGGATCCCATTCAAATCATTCATGCCAACTCTTCAGCCAGGACATGTCATTCTAAAACAGGAAATGAGGCATTTTGGACACAACTGTATAACTAAATGGAAGGAGATTTTTAAAAAATTTTCCCCCTGTCCTTTTCAGAAAGCCACGACCCGTTGCTCAGCTTGTTGCACAGCAAGTAAATCAACAGTTTGCATCTCCGACGCATCCCAAAAAGGAGAAGAAAGAAAAATCCGAGAAGGACAGAAGTGACAAAGATACAACACTGAAAAAGAAAAACCAGAAAAGGATGAGGTAATTATTAAAATGTGAAATATTTGGTGTCCTCTCTAAGCCAGTGTTTCACAACCCTGGTCCTCAAGGCTCACTGTCCTACATGTTTTAGAGGTTTCCCTGTTTTAACGTGCCTAATTCAACTGATTGCAGTTCACCAAACTCCTGTTAATCAGTCATCGATTGAAATCAGCTGGACTGAAGCAAATAAATGCCTAAAACATGCAGGGTAGCGTTTCTTTAGGACCAGAGTTGGGGAAACGCTGCTCTAAGCAGTTCTCACTGGCTGACCTGTTTGTTTTGCTCCCTCAGCAGGCCCAGGTTAAAGAACGTAGACAGGAGCAGCGCCCAGCATCTGGAGGTCACGGTCGGAGACTTGACTGTAATTATCACAGACTTTAAGGAGAAAGTTAAATCCACGTCTTCCTCAGTGAGCGCCGCCTCAGCAGACCAGCACAGCCAAAGTGGCTCAAGCTCCGACAACACCGAGCGAGGAGTCTCCAGGTGCTCCTCGCCCCGCGGGGAGACTTCGTCGATTAACGGAGAGACTCACTAGCCCCCCCCTGCCCCCCACGCTCCCAGTCGGCATAACACACTGATGTGCACTCTCCACAGTCTCGGGTCAGAGAATAAACTTCAACATGCACATTTTTCTTCATATAAAACCTTAAATGTCAGTATGATAGCATTCAGGTTGTACATTTCTCTGCCTTCCCCATGTTTTACCCTGTGTGATCGGTTCCAGGCTCTCCTGCAGCTATCATGATTAACTGAAAATGGAGCAGTAGCATTAAAACTCGGGCGTCTGCGTGTAGCCATGTCGCGTTTCTTGGTGCTTCAACAGTGTTGCCTCAGCATCACAGACTGATGTTGGTCGCTGCACACAATAATTAGGTCATGGTGGAAATGTGAAGAAATCATCTCAGAATAAGTTTTTGTTCTCAACATAATTTGCACTTGTTGCCAATCCTGTGTTAGTAACATTTTTTTTTTTTTTGCATTATTTTCATGTTGGTGTTATAACACTGTTGGTTACCTGCCTTTTCGGCACACATTTTATGCCATTGAATGCAATAACAGTTTTACCATTTAACATCTAAATACAATTTTACTAAGCAAGCTTTGCCCTCAGTTTGTAGAGACAAGTCTGATTTAATCTATAGAATGGTTTATATTGAATAAAATGAATTGTAGATATATTAATGTTTCTGTTTTTTTTAAATGGAAGATTTCTAATTACCTGTGATGTGTCTGTTTGGTACTTGCATATCTCCTTGTTCAGCAGTCATCTTCAAGCTTTGCAGTTTACATTACATTTCTTAACACCTGTACTTCACAGTTAAAAATTCTGCTGAAGTTTTATGATGCATAAGCCCTGTCTACTTGATGTAAAGTAATGTCCAATCGAAGGTTTTGGGAAGATTCACAAAGTGTGGCATTTAGCTGGGTTCAGTGCTTTAACTTTTGCCTTACAGTGGCATATTCAGAACATGGGTAAGAACTGTTACATTACTTTGTTTATATCAGAGATGTCAGAAGTGTCCTAAGGTAATAAAAATAAAGTTAAAGGCTAAATGGTTGCTCGACATCTTTTCAGATTTTTTTTTTAATGGTGTTCTCAAGATCCCAGTCATCAAACTGTGGCTTTGGTCACATTTCCAGACTATGTAGGTCAGTTGCCAATCTTCCAGCTGTTTTATGAATGTTGGTATACTGATGTCAGTTCTAGGAAAGTCATGCAACCTTCACCTGGAGTCTATATTAAACTGTAGAAGAAGGTCTCCATTTGTTCTGACCTGATAACGGGAAGAAAAAAAAACTGTCTCCCTAAGCACTGGTCCCTAAACAATATTCAGGCAGAAACTAGAAACCTCTAAGCCTGAGGTTTAGGACTGTGAGGAAGTGGGAAAAGGAGTAAAAACAAAAGTTACAGATCTGCATTAAGTTTTTATAACATCTGTGCGGAAACCTCACGTGAAACGGAAGTCAAAATGTAATGTTAGCAGAAAGGTTGGTCCCGATTCTGATATTCGTCAGTAAACGTTGGCTAACCTTGTGTATAGTACACATCTTATGGAGGTCTGTGTGTACAAAGGTTGGCGTTGGCACTTGGCAGACGGTCCTTGTTAACAGGCAGGAACACGTGTGACAGAGGTGGGCGGAGCGGAAAACTGTAAACACCAACTACCGCTCACTTCTACTAGCTATGACTTGACTGCTATAGCCGCTAGTACCACACATGGTACCTAGCTAGGATCAGAAAAAATGTTTTTTATTTGCACATAACTGAAGCGCAAAATGCGATGCTATCTACACGCTTATCTCCTGTGCACGGTATTTACATTCTTCTCCTTACTGTATGTGTACAGTCAGCTTGCCTCCACCTTGGAGGACAGGGACGAGCGGTCTGGAGGAGGCAGGATATCCGGCAGGAGCAGTCATGACGCCGGGCACGCTCTCAGGAAAAGACCAGGACTATTAGGCCTCCGGGACCGAGAGTGGGGACAGAATAGGTACCTTTTAGCAAGCCGTATCTTTTTTGTGTGTGACAATTAACGTCATTCGTAACAGTGAGCTTTAGATGTTAGTTAATCCTCCTAGTGTTTAGTTACTGACTTAGCTCATTAACTAATAAGATAATGCTTAAAGTTTACAAGTCGTACAGGTACATTTTCAGTTATATATTCGTTGCCAGTTTGCGTATATACTCGGAAAGTTCGTGGTTATGCATGTTTTATATTAAATTAGCACTAGTGCTAACATTGTAATTGACAGGCTTAATGTGACTTCTAACTACCTCATCAACGTCAGCTTAATGCTGGATTTAGCGGACAACCATCTGTTAATGAACTTTAGAAGATATTTTCACCAACGATCTGATCTCTAAAAGCTATGTTCAAGAAGTTGATTACTAACTAAAGATCAAAAAAAGACCCATGTTTTTATTCTGTCAGGTGTAAATCACTGTCAGTCTCTTACTGGAATCCATATTGGAGACCACCTGCTGATGATGTTTGTGGAGTGAACTGCTTATTGGAATCACCTCTTGGGTATGATTTGATTTTGTGAACATCTAAGATTATTAGTGATCAATTTTAGAATGAAGAAAGTCACCCAGCCATGTCCAGCTTTCATACTGTTCCCTGTGATGATTCTTGAATTACCGACTGTCACAATACTGTGTACTTGTGGGTTTGGTTCCATGAATCACATTGCTAGTCAATGATTGTTAAATATTCTTCAACACAGCAAAATCTTATCCGTGCATGGTTATTATATGAGCTAACATCCATTACAATGAGATTCATCATAATTTGGTTAGTCACAGCCTACCCCCTCCCTATTTCAGAGATAAATCGTGGGCTTGATTTTCTCTGTTACTCATTTCTGAAGGGATCGGTACAGTGCCTAGTGTATTATTAATCGTTGAATGTTTCCACATGTTGTCATGTCACCGACAGAAACTTCAATGTCTCCTACGTAATGAGCAATGTAGTGCATAAAATGAGACATGAAAAGCTGGTTGTTAACGCGGCATACATTTGTGTTCAGCCTTCCTGAATCACTAGTTTCTTGAACCTCCTGTTGCTACTGTTAATTCTTCAGGTTATGTCTGTACTCTAGACCTTTGCTTAGTCCTCTTTGCAAAAAACAATTAAGCTCACACAGATTAGACAGAGAGTATCTCAGAATGTCAGTTTTGAATTTGTCATCCAAATCTTCAGTTTGATTTAGGTTTGGTCTTTGACGGGACCTTTCTAACACATTTTCTTCCAAACCACTGCATTGTAGCTTTGGCTGTGTGTTTAGGGTCGCTCTAATGCTGACAGGAGACTCTCCACCCCAGTCTCAAGTGCTTTTCTTTTTGGCCTTTATTTCATAACCCCGCTTTAGATTTCTCCTCAACTTTATCACTTACAGTATCCTTTTCCTGTGTTCACTCTTCATGAGGCATTTTGTTCAATAACGTTCTCTCAAAAAACTTCAAAGGCCTTCAGGAAACTAAATAGGATTGAATTACACACAGGTGCACTCTGTTTACTAGCCACTTGTGAAGGGAATGGGTTCGACTTGATTCTTTTTAGGGGTGTCAGATTATAAAGGTAGAAATTTTTGAAAACAATGATGTACTTTTTTGTGTTTATCTGTCCAATAAAATCTGAAGAAAGTACATTGAAGTGTGGGTTTGAAATGTGACAAAATGTGAGAATGACAAAACGGTGTTAATATTTCTTTAAGGCACTGTTAATCGCTCTAGGTCTTTAGGTTTCTCTCAATTTAGTCAGTATTTGTATTATTAAATGCAAATTTGAGGTTGTGCATGTTCAAGTTTTCACATATATAGAAAAAACCCTACATTTTCCTTAAATTGCTTGTAAATAAATTATTTTTTTTTTATAAGGAGACCTTTTACAACGCACCCATTAACTCTTTCACCTCTCCTGGGTGGGTCGTGGCATTAGCTAAGCTGAGGGTTTTGGTTATTGCGTTGCTGTAAATGCCCTGCTTAATCTTTTCTGCTGCAAAATGACTAAACGTATGACTGATGTAATCATTGTCTTGGCTGTCAGTGAGAAGTTGAGCTCTGCTACAAAAGAACCTAAAAATGACAGAAGTCACCTGGCCGTGGTGGCCTGCGGCGCCAGGCTGGAGGAAACTCTCACCATGCTGAAGTCTGCCGTCCTCTTCAGCAGAAAGCCTGTGCACTTCCACATCTTCGCCGAGGATGATCTGCATGATGCCTTCAGAAATGCTGTAAGTGTGCGACCGTACAGCGGGGAAACTTTCAAACTCCTGGATTTGCCCCAAAAACCTTTACGACCCTGAGACGTGAGCGCATGTTCAGTGTCTTGGTAGATTTAATTGTTGAACTGAAAACAAATCTTAGAAGACGATCATCTGTCGTTGTTTTATTGTTTCATTCCTCCGTTTGTGTTTCCTGATAGTGTGGGATAGTTTAGTGGATTATTGCTCTGCGAACGGGCATTGGTGTGTGCAGCAAAACTCAAACTCAGTTGTCTTATTTCTGGATGTTCTTTGCTTCTCCAATGGTTTTTATGAAGGTCTTTTTAAGTTTAAACTCTAAAACACTTTAAAATGAGACATTCGAAGCACAGTAACGGACAGATTTCTGTGTCCTATTTTCATCCGTCAAGTTGGAAATGTGGCCCGTGGCAGTCCGGACAACGTTTACATTCACCATCTATCCAATCGCGTTTCCCGAGGAGAATGCAATCGAGTGGAAAAAGCTCTTCAAGCCTTGTGCCTCTCAGAGGCTGTTTCTGCCGGTAGGTCTAAAGACGTTTTAATCAGAAGATATTCATCAGAAATTCTTTACTGTTTTAGAAATTCTAATATTGTTTCCTGTTTGTTTTTTCCTTCCCCAGCTAATACTGAAGCAGGTGGATTCTTTGCTTTATGTAGACACAGATATTATTTTCCTGCGTCCAGTGGAAGACATCTGGGGCCTACTTTCTCAGTTTAACGCGAGCCAATTGGCTGCCATGGCACCGGAGCACGAGGAGCCTCGTATTGGCTGGTACAACCGTTTCGCTCGTCACCCTTACTACGGCAAGACAGGCGTCAACTCAGGGGTCATGCTCATGAACATGACGCGCATCAGGGAAAAATTCTTCAAGGTAAAGACTGCGATACCTACCGTTGTCTGTAGAAATATTGATAGATATTATTGAAGTATTTATTGGAAGCGTTGGCAGCAGTCTGTTATGCTATTGATTTATGCTGCTAATTTCTGGCCTCAGATAGTTTGAATATGGTTATGTGCTTGTTCAAACAGTTAATGACTGAAAAAGTGTCAAATAATATTTGAACAAAATACCATTTCCAGTGGTTGTGCTGCAGTACTCGGATCAAACAGTTGAGGTCACTCTTGTACTTTTGCTTTAAATCCCTTCAGCTTGCACAGGTTTCTGCAAAACAACTTCCTTGATGTAAAAATGACTTGAGAAAAAGACTGACTTGCCTGAAAAGCGGATTTGTTGGTTTCTTGATGTAAATTGATATAAATTCTTGGGTTGCTGTTTTTTTTTTTTTTTTTCGTTGCTTTAGAGTGACATGACAGCTGTAATGCTCCAGTGGGGGGAAATTCTGATGCCTCTTCTTCAAAAGTATAAACTCAATATCACCTGGGGGGACCAGGATCTTCTTAACATCATATTTCATCACAACCCTGGTAGGTGTGACCTTATTGTAATGTTTATTGTATCCAATACGTTGGAGTTTATGTTGTTTGTTTTGTAGTAGACTGTTATTAAAGAAGCAAGTTTATGCCTTTTTTTTTCTTTTTTCATTTTGTTCCTCTGCAGAAAACCTGTATGTGTTTCCCTGCCAGTGGAACTACCGTCCCGACCACTGTATCTACGGCAGCAACTGTCAACAAGCTGAAGAAGAAGGTGTCTTTATTCTCCATGGTAACAGAGGAGTTTATCACAACGACAAGCAGCCTGCTTTCAGAGCTGTCTACGAGGCAATCAAACAGGTAGAAAGACACCATTATAGTAAAAAAAAATAAATAAATAAATAAAATCATAAAAATCATGATGGAGCAAAAAAAAAAATCCTGTATAAGGTGAAATGAGTTGAAATTCTACGGCTCTGTTTTCTTAGAGAGCAGTTGCATGCAGTGGCAGTTTTTGATATGTCCTGGAGGGCTGTCAAACGCACTCAATAAAGAAAAAAAAAACGATGTTGGGCTCCAATAAACCCATTGCAGCGTGACATCACAAGCATCAGCTCCACCCTTCATTCTCCCTCTGGTTGGGAACAGAGTCGCACTGCTGCGTTAAAGAAACTCAAAGAGAACTCTGAGAAGGGAATGAAAAACCGAGGGGAACGCTTTTCTCTCTTGGGGTCCGTTTGAAGCTTTAGAAAATCTCCTAAGGGCCAGCTGGTTGGAGCTGCTGCTTCTCGCTAGCCCGGGTCCCAGTGGCCTCCACGGTGAGCCAGTCTGCTTTAGATTTTAAATGTTGGGCCTTTTTAGTAATAATCATCTGTAAAGTTTACTCTCAAATGCAACGTTCAAAGCTGCATTTTTACCGCAGTAATTCAAACGCACTAAAGGAGGGGGGAGCGCAACCCAGCTTGCTTATTATTATGCATTGCATTTACTTGCAGTTGGATAACTGATATGTGCTAATTTCAGCACAAATTGAGATGGTATGTTGGTTCACACGCCACAGTGTGATTAAGTGTAGTCATATTTTTACTGTTCCAACCCCAGTAAGTAGATTTGTCCGTCCATTTATCTATGTAGCAAAAATAGTTTTTATGAAGCAGAAGACCTAGCATCAGTGTCCCACTCAGAGCGCAATGCGTGCAAGAACCACCACTGATCGTGTGTGTGTGTGTGTGTGTGTGTAAACTATTTGTAAAACCGTTTTGCTAGTCATTTTCTTATCAATACGCCCTTCAGGCTGTGCTTTTTTATTACGGATGCATCCGCCCGCCGGGGCAGAATCAATATTCTGCTAAATATTTCCTTTATTATATTTAAGTTCTCCAAAGAAAGGGGAGGCACATCTTCCCAGATTCACCCGCAGCAGTGGCTGCATCTGTCAAGCGACAACATCAGACGTCAATTGCACAGTTTGATTCGCCTTTTAAGACGAAAGGTTAAATATACATTATTTTTACACCTTCTGCCGCCGAAGGCAGCTTTGTGATGTGTGAACATAGACAGGTGTAATTTAACCGGGAAGCACAGCTGCTGTCCCACGGGGTGTGTTGTAATCTTTCCTGTTTCGCTTTGTGTTGCGGGATCTCGGATGGTCACAGCAGCAATATAATCTGGAAGGATCCAGCTGGGATACACAGCAGTGAGAAATGGAAGAAGACAGGAAAAATGAGCTCATTCTCCCCTCTGCAAAGGAGGACATAGCTCGTTTTTTTTTTTTTTTTTTCTTCTCACTACCTCACACCATAGGCAGCGTCTGCTACAAGCGACCTCAAGGTACGGCGTGCGCTGAGCTGAACTTTGCGGGCAAAGCAGTTGGAGCTCAGCTGTTATATTTTGCTTGCAGTGGTGGTCAGGAGCAGGTGAGGCTAGATGAGGCGAAACGCATGGTGTCATCCGTTTCTGCGAGAGATGAGACGTGATGGAGCTGCCGCCTCACACGCGCCGAATGTCTTTTGTTTTGATGGGAGTTGAAAACAAAACTCCATTTCTAGGACGAAACGGAGGACAAGCACTTCTGGAATAGCAGTGGAATAGGTAAAAATAAAAGATAAAATCAAACTTTATTAATGGTATGTTTTGAGGTTTTTTTTTTAGTTTTTTTGGGGGCGAGTGGGAGTTAAGGCTGTTATTGCATTAAAAAAAATGAAACAGCCACAACAGCATAATGGTTCCATAAAATATATTTTAATTTGGCTTTGCCAAATAAGACCTAGGTTCCAGTTAGGAGGTCCATATGAGCTGTGTACAGAATGTCCCATTCTTATTCCCTTGGAGATGCTTCAAATCATAATCTGATCAATTTAATCTGATTACTTTTTATGTGCCCCCCTGCCACATCAATGTTTGATCAGTTCCATAACCTGCATCATATCCATATCCCTCAGAGCACAGAGCCTCACTTTGGCTCGTGCCTCTCCATAAAAGCTTTTCCCGCCCACAGCCACCCCGTTTTGCACTGTCAGCTGTGAGCCGAGAGCATCCAGTGCAAGGCGTCATGAAAACGGTGTTGAAGCTCACAAACGTCTCCAGAATAGGACTGATATCGCATTCCCCGCATAGCCTTGTTTTAGTAACAGCAGGGTGAAAGTGCTTTTGCAATCAAGCAAAAGATTCCTGATTAATTGTCGATCTCATGACCAACTTCATGTCTTTAAGGTTGTGACGTGTTGGATCAGATGGTTATCAAATGGACAGTTGGATATTTGAGCTTGTTTATATGCAAGTTTGGCATGAAAAGCCACCCTCGTGCGCTCACAGTTTGTGTTTTTGAAATTCATTGAAATAATTTCCCTCTGGAACAAAAACGGGTAAACTTACAAAGACTGGCATGGTGACATCCTTACCATTTGTAGAAGGTAGGAGACAAAATCTACACAATTCAAAAACTGAATTTAAGATCTGCAGACCATAAGAATATGCATCATTTTCATTCTCCTAGAATATAAGTTATGGTCAGCATAACCCTTGTGTCACATTCATCGGTTCAAACATATATATTTTGTTTGGCTTAGCAAACATTCGTCGTATTGACCACCCTGCTTTAACCCTATGATCTCAAAGGCTCAGCACATTCCACATCCCGAGTAAGGAAGTAAATTGGCCTGAAGTCTCTCAGTCTCTCTTTATTGTTGCTCTTTTTCGATCCCTCTTCGTTGATTTGAGCTCACCGGTCAACCTGCGGGCAGCAATCCATGGGAAGACGGGAGGAGCAGCGTCATTAGGCGGGCTCCATCCATTACCAGGACAGGCCTTACCTGGCCACTATCAATGCAGGCAATGTTCTCAGCCATTAAGTAAACGAGCAGGCTTCATTATGAGGCACTCGGCCAGCTCCATCAGTCTCTCCAGCAGCAGAGAGGCACGCTGTGCTCATATTAGAGTCCTCGGATTTTAGGGTCTTTGTGGAAGGAGGGAAAAAAAAATAGCTTAATTCATCAAGTAAAAATTGCTCTTTGTTGCAAAATTATCCCATTAGTTCAGAGAGAACCACAAAGCTTTCCGTCCTTTGTTTCCCTCGTTGTGTCTCGGAAGTTTATTATCCGCCCTTCTTTCTCCAGTTCCCTCGGCACCCTCCCACTTTGTTCCCACTCGTTCCTTTGAGAACAACATCCTAAAGCCCCGTGCGGACGGTTCTGGGACGAACTCCTATTTCCATCTCGCCAAGAGCTCCTTAGTCAGCCCTGCTCCCAAGGCAGGCTCTCTCAGTCGGCAGAGGAGCTTGCAATAAAGGCCACTGCCATTACCGAGCCACGCTCACTGAAGAGTTGTAAAATTTTTAGTGCTGATGCTAGTTTGAGACATCATGATGGCTGTGTGGACAACGCAACAGCCACATCCACATAAAAATCGATAGGCGGCCGTTAATGGCACTATATTGCCTGCCGCACTTTATGAAAAATAATAAAGAAACAGTTTTGAGTAATGCGATGCTTCGCCAAACTGGAGTCAAATAAGACGCTGTAAAATACTTGTTCGTTTTTATTTACTGGAGCTATAAACAATTGCTTCTCCTCAACGTGAAAGTGAAAGGCCAGGATCTTTATCTTGTCACACTAGATGGCAGGAACCTTGGTTTCCCTCGACTAGCTGGAAATCTGGAAGTTTTATCTCTGCTGTTGGACTCAGACGGCGAGGAGGAAGCACATTAGAAATGCTGCAGATGTTGCTGTGTCTCATACTGCCGTACTTTACTAACTATTTCTGTTCTTGTGATAGATATTCATAATCCACGTCCAATGTTAGTTGAGATATGCAAATTAATCCATGTGGATGCATTATTATTTTGTATAAGCCAACACATAAAACAATATCTATCTATCTATCTATCTATCTATCTATCTATCTATCTATCTATCTATCTATCTATCTATCTATCTATCTATCTATCTATCTATCTATAATATACATATCTATATCTCAGTATCTCTATACCTCTTAAGGAAGCCTGCTCATTTACCTAATGGTTAAGAACATTGCCTGGGTTCATAGTGGCCAGGTTAGGTTTCCCCTAGTAATGGATGTAGACTGGCTAATGATGCTGTTTTTCTCCTCTTCCCATGGACTCAAATCAACCAAGGAGGATTGAAACAGAGCAACAATTAAGAGAGACTAACAGATTTCAGGCTAATGCTAGAGGTGGAAGCGGGTTTCTAAAGAAGTGGCGTTATGACCCTGTTGTGGCCCACTCAAAGGTAGGGTAGACCGATGAGTTGATAGTTGTCCAGCCAGTCAATGACACCCTCCAAAAGGAGGGGTACGGGACAAAAGCATGTTGATGAAGAAGCTGGTTCTCCATAGAGCGCTGCATCCAGGCGTGTTAAGAGTAGAATGGTTGGAAAAGGTGCTTAGGAAGCAAGGATTGTCGCAGCACTGGGGAAGATTCTGGAAAAAAAAAGACCCTTCAACAGTTTGGAGGAAGATTCACAATAAATGAATGTAACTGTCACCAAACAGAAGGAACAGTACACAGTGGCAACCCCTGCAATAAATGACCTATTCAGTACATAGGCTATGTAGTGTCCCTTGTGTTAAGTCAACCTTGATCCAGAGGCAACATCAGAAGTTTTTTTTACCTGGACTAAAGTGAAAAGGAATCGGACTGTTGCTTTGTGAATCAAAAACATTTAAACTTTCCATTTGGGGTTTCTCATTGTTGTTCTAGTTTGATAAAGAGTCTGCCTTTCTTCATCCAGTAATTAAAAGCATAGAATTTGATTGCACTATTTTCTAAGTCTTGATAAGTATGGGAAGAAAATGATATTTTTCTGACTTTATTACCTATCCCATTGCCTTCTATAAATAATCCCATCTATCTACCAAGCACAGTTGTTAAGTAAATGGTAACCATGGTAACCATGTTTGTTGCAATCGGTAAAAACACGCTGTTGTCAAGTAAAAGGTTTGCCAAATGGAAGTGGGTTGGGACGAAATGTTAAAATGTGGGTACCAGTTGGAGCACGAATTGTTGAATTGACCCAGACCCTCCAGAAACCGAACCGTAGAATAAAGTAACATCTTCCTTGTCAAATTTCTGACAACATAATGATAACCCGTCCATGTCTCTTCTGACCCCAGTACTCCTTTGGCGAGGACATGGAGAGCTCCCTGCTTCAGCCACTGGAAGCGGCGTTGCAGGCAACTACGCATTCCTACTGCGGCCTATCCAGCCACCTGTTTACCAAAAGGTTAAGAGAGAGCGTCAGGCTGCTTCAACCAGAAGACATTGGATCGCAAGCTAATATCATTCCAGTGCCTGATGCTGTTGACTGATGTTCCTCCTGTGGAGATGACCTACTGGATGTTGTAGTTAAGACCAGACAGTGATTTGTTTACATTGTGTATGCTGAGATTGTATTGTTGAGATTATATGAGTGGAAAAATAATGAGCAGAATGTGTTTTATTTTATTTGTGTTTTTTTTTTTGTTTTTGTTTTTTTGTTTTTTTACACATAGATAGTTTTGGTACACATCTGTCTGATGAAGACGCAATAATGACACAGATACTTCCTCACTTTCCTGGAAAATACACTGTCTTCACTTTGCCCGGCAGAGATTACAGACTTGATCCTGATAAGGACAACAATCTCTGTTTTTAATGACAATCACATTTTTTTTTTTTACTTTTTTTTTCTCTTTTTTTTGCTTTTAAATTCAGAGAGAGCTTGAAAAGGAGTAAAGACATTTATTTGCTTTGAGTTTCATGAGAAAACTTAAATTTTGACCTAAAGAGAGTATTTTATTTAGTATTTTAGATTCTTAATATAATTCTGGACAAGTATTTCCTTTCTTGGTTTTGGTTAAAGACTTAAAGCTTCTCTTGATTAAACATTTCATATTAATCGGATCAGTATTTATTGGACATCTACGATGTCAACCTGAAGTATTTGTGGGTATTATTGCAAACACTCCGCACTTGTTCATTTACTGCATATTTTATTGGACACGTCTTGTTTGTGTTTATTGCTTCCCGAACAAAATCTGTTTGTGTAACTGATGTAACTTCAAAGGGACTGTGCTCTGTCATCAAAGCACCAAACATCATGAGGAATTTAATGATGTATTTGATTATGTTTGCTTCAAAACTGGAAAACAAATATTGAATGTTTAGGAGACTTTCTAGAATAAAGCAAAAATATATTTCTAATGCTTCTGTTGCCGTTGTTTTAATCTAGACTGTATAGGCTTGATGTTAAAATGGAAAGTCAAAAACTGTGGGAACTGCAGGTTGGAAGACTAAGAAGGTTTTCCTGTCAAACTTCTCTACAACAAAACAAGCAGCAGCTGTTTGTGTTGTTGTAAAGTCGTGTTTGACTGGATGATACATTCACCCACCACTTTATGAGGTGCATGAACCTGGCCAATCAGACAGCAGCAGCTCAGTGTGTTTAGCCTGCGAGATATGAAGAAACAGTGTTGTATTTATTTAAAACGTGGGATGATTGTTGGTGTTGGGTCTGTGTATTTTCAGGCAGTACGTTTTGTTTTTTGTTTTTTTTTTGTGAGAAATGAAAAAACAAAAATAGGCTCGTTTTTAGTTTATTAAACCAAAATCGGAAATTGGATAACAGCTCGATGCATGTATTTTTAAGCAGTTCGTTATTTCATTTATTTCTCATTTCCCAACGGAAAACGGAAAAAACTAGTCTATTTTTGTATTTTCATTTTCCAATTCAAACGAAAAGACGAACTGCCTGAAAATACATGGACCGTGTTAGTTCACCCACAAAATCATCTCAGGTTTCCAGAGAAATAGTTTGGAGATATATCCAGTGACCATCTGTTTATATAGATGTAAGTACCCTAGAAAGACACCAGTAGCTCAAAGGCTTCTTGCTACGTCTACGACTAAGGTGTGCAGAACACCGTCTGGACTAGAGGCGGTCTCATGATTGGAGAATATTTCCTTGGTGCACTTTTGCGTCCTTGTAATCTGTCTTACTGTCGTATCTGGCAGAAAATGTTGCTGATCGGGTCCATCCCCTTGTGATCACATCCTCTGATGGTTTCTTCCAGCAGGATAACACACCCTATCATCTCATTGTTGCTTCTTGAGCATAATGAGTTCGCCGTACTACAGTGACCTCCAAAGTTAACCAGATCTCAATCTACGAGCACCCTTGGGATGTGGTGGAGCAGGAAATGTCTATCAGGCATGTGCAGCCAACAACTCAGCAGAAACTTATCCATGTATATATAATGTCAGTTTGGACCAAAG